AGCCGTCTGAGACACTGTCACCCACCTCCCTCTGCACAGCACCGTCTGTAGGGGAGCCTCTGAGTGAGAGGGTCCCAGGAGAGGCTACCCTCTGCAGTGTTTCTCAATCTCATGTAGGTTAGACTTTTTAACCCACAGTGTCTTGTGGCCCTCAAGTTCTAGGGACATTATTTTGGGAAGCGTGGCCTTCCTGTTCCCTAACTATGTCCAACTCTGGCATAAAGTCTTCTAACTTCTTCCTGTACATTTGAGCAGCCTTTCTTACAGCCTTGGTTTTAACCTCTGTAAAATGGGTATCATACATAGCGTCCACACAGGTCACTGCCGCTGCAACAAAGGAAAAATATTTCTTGGAACACACAAGATCTGGTGACCTATAGCTCCCTGGGGAATAACAAAGCTCCACCTTTTTTCCCCATTATGCATTGCTCTTACGTATTTATTCACACATTCGATAAACATTTACTACCTGACCAATCGAGAAAGGTGTAATTACCCTTTTTTTGTTGTCACTGCTATTTGGTTTGGGATGTTATTTTGTGAGGATGGAGCTGAGCTGGCCTGGTAGCCCACAGGCATCCAGTGCCAGGGTCAGAACCCTGGTCCATCGGAACCCAAATGCAGTTGTTCTCCACGACACCAGCTGGCATGCGTTCCCACTGCTGGCCATGCAGGGCCGCGAGGAACACAGCAAGGAAGGAACTGAAGTTCCTTCTCCAAGGAGGTCACAGCTCCATGGAGACATAGGAATCTCTGTGGGAGCCTGGGAAGGACCAAGCCAGGGGGACAGACAGGTGTGGGAAGCCCAGAAGCAAAGGAGCTCCTTCAGAGACAAAAATGTGAGTAAGGAGGGGGCACCTGGGTGGCTTGGTCTGTTAAGCGTCTGCCTTCAGCTCAGGTCATGATCTCGGGGCCCTGGGATCGGGTCTGACATCGGGCTCCCTATTCAGTGGGGAGTCTGCCTCTCGCTCCTTCTCTGCTCCTCCCTCCACCCCTGCTCATTCTCCTTCAAACAAATAAATAAAATCTGTTTTTAAAGAAGGTGAGTAAGGAAAGAAGGGAGGTGGGGCAGGTGCGGCCGGAGGCTGCAGCTCGTCCCACACCATGAGGGGCAAGGATGGGGCTGGACACTGCAGGCCCCAGGCTTTGCAGATCTCCCAGAATGGGATGTCCTGGGGGTGTTGGATGTCCTGGGGGTGCAGAGCCACTCATCCGAGTACTGTGTGGAGAACCATCAGATCCTGCTGGTAAGAATGTAAAATGGTGCAGCCACTTTGGGAAACAGCTCCTCAAACAATTAAAGACTTACCATACGATCTAACGATTCTACTTCTAGGTATACGCCCAAGAGAAATGAACACATACGTCCACAAAAACTTGCACACGAATGTTAACAGAAGCATTATGCATCATAGCCAGAAAGGGGAAACAACCCAGTGTCCATCACCCAACAACAGATGAATACAATACGCTCTAGCCACAGGCTGGAGTACTACTCAGCTGTACAAAGGAACAGAAGGCGGACACAGGCTATAGCATGGACGAACTTTGAAAACATGACACTGAGTGAAAGAAGCCAGCCACAAAAGACCACATCCATGATTCCATTTATACAAAAAAGTCCAGAATAGGGAAATCTATAAAGAGGAAGTAGAGGAGTGGTTGCCAGAGGAAGAAGCTGGGAGAAGAGGAATCGGGTGGGAGCAGGTGATCAGGGGATGAAATGTTCTATACTGGACGGTGTTCATGGTCATGCTTACCTGTGACTGTACTAAAAGCCGCTAAATTGTAAATCTTAAATGGCTACATTGTACGGCGTGTGAATTATACCTCGATAAAGCCATTTACAAAGAACTCACAGAGCCATCCAATACTTTGTGTGTTAGCTTCGTTAAACCTGACCTCAAAAAAAAAACAAAAAAAAAACCTGACCTCGACGAGGGGAGGTTTGCTTTATTTCCCATTTTACAAATGAGAAGAAGGTTCGGAGCGGCTAAGTGACTTGACCAGAGCTCGAGCTGGTGAGCGGCCACTCCGGTCCAGCCCACTCCAAGGTCCCAGCTTCTCCCGGGACTGTCACCGAAGCACCGTGGGGCTGTTAGGTCCGGCCGGCTTCCCCACTCACCAGAGGCCAAGGTGGCCAGTGCTTCACCGCATGTCCCCAAATCCGTCCAGTCGCCCTGTCTGCCCGGAGCCTCTACCTTCCTGCTGCTCGCTGCCACACCACACCCCCGCCAGCGTTTCCCACCGTGGGCAACTCGGTGGGGGCGGGCCCTGCTTCTAGCCCAATCTTTATCTTCAAAGGTGATTTCCGCTCCAAATATTTATGGCAAAATAACAGAGAGCGCCTTCCTTCACGGGGGCCTGTGTTTGAAGCCGTTTTCCCAGCGCGCCTGTTTTTGATAGTCAAATCTCTCGGAGGGCACATTAAGATCTCAGGGCTGCTGGCGTCCTACCTTGGCACCCACCCACCCACACAGGTCGCCAAGAGCCCCAGCCACGTGCACATGGTGGCACTCCCATGCGCCTCTCGGATGCCACGCCCAGGGTGTTCAGGCTCTGACTCTGCCCGCTGGGCCCCGGGGCACCACAGTAGTTAGGGTCCTCAGCAGGGTGACCACTCCTTGATGGACACTCTTCTTTAGGGGAGACAGATGCAGGGGCAGCCATTGGACATCCAGCACCGCTGCGGCCTAGCTGTGCAACCTAGAGCAAACCACTTCCCCTCGCTAAGGCCATTCCTTGAACTGGAAAGCAGAGACAGTAACGTAACTTCAGGATTTTACAAGGTCATTTTGTAAGAAGCTTAGGCTAGCACACAGTGAGAACTCAAGACATGTTAACGAGCATTACCTCCTTCTCCTGCTCTACCTCCTCCTTCCTTCTTTTTTCTCCCTTCATAATCAAACATAGAATTCTGCAAATAAAAATAGCTGCACCGTTCTGCTACATACCCAGTCATCCACACAGGGACCTCTGCTCCTTAGAGGGCCCTGCAGCTTAGGCGTTCTTAGCACCCTCACTAGAGAGAAAAAAGGGCTCAGAGAGGGACAGTCGATTGCCCAAGGTCACACAGCTCGACAGGGGTCGGCTGATTCCGAAGCCCAAACGATGGTCCTGCTGGTCTCCATCTCCCCAGAGACAACCACAGTAAGTCTGATTTAAAAGTCACTGTGGTGCACAAAGGATTGATCATCTTCCGAGCCTGGGAACATATTCGGATCATGAATTGCCAGCGAGGGTTTGGGGGACGCTAAAATCAAGCCCGTCAGCGCATTCCTGTGGTGGGGGAAGTCGGCCCCCGCGGATGACACAGCTAAGCAGGGCCCCACCCCGCTCCCCACCTGCCCCACCCCTCCAACGTGGCCAGGTCGGGTCAGGCAGAGCCAGGCCAGAGCCTCGGGGGCCCCAGGCAGGAGCATCCCACCCCAAAGGATTCTTCAGGCAAGGCGGCCCCGTCCAAGGAATTGACCAAGTGCCCCTCCCCAGCCTCTGCTCGTTCAAGATTGCATTTTTGAGGACTGGTCAGGACAAGGTTGGAGAAGCAGTGCCAGTTCCCCTTGGGCTTTCAGCATGCAATGGAAAGAAAGCTCTCAGGCCCTGGAGGGCAGGGGCGGGACCTCTTGTGTAGGGAGAAGATTCCCAGCACCCAGCCGGGCGGTGAGCTCTACAGGTGTGCTGTTCAGGCAGGGAGCCAGCCCGTCCTTCTACCAGGGCCAAGCCCTGAGGACAAAGTCTCCAAAGGGGACAGCAGAACATCCCAGAAGAGAGGAGCAAGCACGCAATTTGGAGTCAGACAGACCCTGCTTTAAGTTTGGCTCTGCCACACAGGAACTTAGAGACCCGGCCCCTTCCCCAGCAGGAAGGAATCAGTGACGACGACCACTCCCCTCCCACCCAGCCCTGGGCTCCTTCCCAGGGAAAGGAGACCATCCACTCACACACCATTCTGTCCCCATGGCTTTACCTCAAGCTGGGGACACTCCACCAAATGCTGGGGAAGTAGCATTGACTCAGGCGTTTCAGACTCGAGTTAAGAACCACCCACTCTGCTGGGCTCACTTTCCCTGCAGCCTAAAATTCACCTGCTCGCCTGTTCACTCACTCGGAAAGTTACTCATTCTCTCGGGTGTTCGACATTTATGGAAATGCCCAGGCCCAGCATGACGTTCACTCCCCCTAGACTCCACTCAGTTATTCGCTCATGCATTTATTCATGTATCTGTTCATTCAACAGACATAGCAAATGCCCAAGTGTTTTAGGAAAAAGCATCTCTCAACCTGGAATCTCCTTATGAATGAATGAATTCCAAGCTAAGGGAAAATTGGAGCTATAGTTTTCCCTACATATAGCTCAGGCAATGAAACAGCAGTGGGCTGAGGTGAGTGAGTTTTGAGCTCATACATGCTGGCTTTAGGAGGTCCTGTTATATCCAAACTCCCACTATGGTTCTTCTGCTTCTTGACCCGGTGGCCCCGGATTGCTGCCTTCTCTTCCCAAAAAGGGGCCCACATAAGAAACTCTACTCGAACTGAAGCGGACATCAGAATCCCCCATTTACAGGAATGACTGTAACGATGACACATAGAGGGTCATGGCTCTCCAGAAGCAGTGTTTCCCCAAAGTGTCTTCATGGTTGCAATCCGTGGAAGCAAACAAGATCCTCGTGTCTCGAAAAAGTTTCTAAATCATAATAATAATCCCATTCACCACCTGTATCTAAGTCAGCACACCCAATTTTAAAGTCAGATGCTGTGGCCTGAAGGCCCAAGGATCCAATTCTATAAATACAGACAGAAGCTGCAAAGTCAAAAGGCCAGACCATCCCAATCTGTCACCCTTTCCACGCTGATAAATTATGTACACCCCTTGGACAGATACGCCCAGAGGCCTGAGGTCCTGTCTGAGAGTCGGATCCTCACCAGTCAACCTGGGGCCCCGGCTCTCCCAGCCATCCGCTCCCCCCACCGCTGTTCAGTCGGCCCCTCCCTACCTGCTGTCTCCTGTGGGCAGACCAGGTGTGCTCCGTGATGGATTGCCCGATGGGCCCCTCTGTCCTGGAGGCAGATGAATCCGGGTGGCGGGAAGCATCCACCAGGTCTTTGACGGACGGCAGGCACGTCAATACTGGAAATGAGCCTGTCTTGGGGGGACGTGCGTTTTATTTGAGTGCAGGGGCTCCTTCCCAGCCTCCCTCCTGACCACACCCAGCTCCCCCACCCTCTCATTCCTCCTCACCCCTGTTCCTACCTCCTTGGGGCCCTGGCGCATCGGGCACGTGAATGAGAGCCACGTTTTAGCCAAAGGGAAATAGAAAAGAACCAAGTTTCCTCCCATTTCAGAAGACTTCTCTGTGATCTGAAGATGATATCAGAAAGGTGCCATGTCTCCAAGGAGCTTCTTATAATTCAGAAAGACAGTTGCAAGTCATTTAAAAGGAGACACAGAATCTTTAATAAATTTAATCCACGTCTGATTACAAAGGAAGAAAGTGTGCTCTCGCTCTCTTCTCTCACGCTCTCTCTCTCATCTTACAGGGCTGGAATATGGCAATAACTGTTCCATCTGATTTTTTTAAAAAAATAAGATTTGCTAAAGGTCAATGTATCTCCTGGCCACATATGCAGCAACATTCAAATTTCCCCAGCCCAAGAATAAAAAGATTCCGTCATTAAAAATAAAAGCGTAAGGACATCTCTCGAGCCCATGGGGGATTTCAGAAAGAGGAGACATTTCGTTATCAACGTGCAATCATGAGATTTTTAAGCAGTATCTCTAATCTGCCTCCCGCTCCTGCCCCCCCAGCCCACCCACCCCTCCTCCCTTCACCACCCCCCCCTCTTCACAGCAAGGTCTTTTTATCCTTCCAATTTTGCATCTAAAGATGAGGTGAATACCATTAGCTCAATTCAACCTCAAGTGTAGTCAGATGGGCCTGTGATTTCTGAAAAGCGCTCGCTAAGGTCACATTAAAATGTATAAGAGCATTTCGATTCCTGAGAAGGGGGCTTATTATCCACCCGTGGTGTAAAAGAGGAATGTCAGTGGCCGCAGACTTGGGTGAAAACAAAAGAGATACCAGGATTTCAGTCTTTTGTGAGCAAGCTTCTCTGGTTTCTTTTCACAGCTCTCCAGCTCTCCCGCCAGCCCAGCAGATAGCTCTGCAGACTGCAAACTTAGGCCTCTTGCAAAAAATAAAATAAGATAAGATAAAAGAAAGAAAGAAAGAAAAAAAAGAAAGAAAACTTAAAAAAAAAAAGAAAACAAGTTTAACTGGCTTCCCCTCTGCCCATTGTTATTTAACCCTTCCAGCTAGAGCCAGCCAAGTCATTGGCTATTAAGTTATAAATGTATATTTCCTTGAAAGAGAGCCCTGTTCTTGTGGCCTTGTTTGTCTGTTTGTGTTTTGTCCATCCTATCAGTAGACAGAGTCAGCATACAGTTAGAAAAGCATGGATGTTAGGGTCAGACCTCCCAGGGTAAGAAGCCCGGCTTTGCCATCACAAGCCATGAGACCCTGGGTACCCACCCACTCACTTATTCAGTAGCTAGATTGATCACCTGCTACACGCCAATCATGGTTCTGGGTTTTAGGAATAGCCAGGTGAACCAGACAGGCTGAGGTTTGCATCCCTGCAGGGGCAGGACTTCCGTAAAGAAAGGTAAAGCAGTGAGACAGGTGGAAATGATAATAGGAAATAAACGATGTCGTAAAAGAGGGAACTTGAAGAAGGTCAATGATACACAGGGGTAATTGAGGAGGTCCTACTGGGAAAGGGATTTGAGATGAGTTGAAAATTCAGACCAGGGGATCCCTGGGTGGCTCAGCAGTTTAGCACCTGCCTTCAGCCCAGGGCATGATCCTGGAGTCCCAGGTTAGGCTCCCTGCATGGAGCCTGCTTCTCCCCCCTGCCTGTGTCTCTGTCTCTCACGAACGAATAAATAAATAAAATCTTTAAAAAAAAAAAAAAAAGGAAAGTTCAGACCAAGCCTGCAATTCAAAGGGCTCAAGGAATGAGGAGAACATGCAAGAACAGGGACCCACGTGAAGAGGCACGCATTGACCAACTTCGTGGAGTTTGAAAATTATCTTTATTCTGATTTAACTTATATCCAACAAAATGCACCTATTTTAATTACAGTGCCATGAGTTCTGACAAATATATGCACTTGTATAACCACGTGACCCCCATTTTAATCAAAATACAGAACATTCTCACCAACCCACAAATTCTGTCAAGTTCTCTCTTAATTCATCCCTCCCCAAGGCAACACTGATCTGATTTGTGTTACTATGTATTAATTTTGCCTTTTGCAGAACTTCATATTAAGTGGAATCAAACAGTATGTGTTCTTTGGGGTCTGCCTTCTAACATGAGAATAACACAAAGTGTTAGGGATTCATTCATGTTGCTGTGCATGTCAGGAAGTTGTTCATTCTTAGTGCTGAGTAATTTCCCGTTTATGAAAAATACAACTGGTTTATCCACTCACCTCCTGATGAACACTTATGTTGTGTCCAGTTTCCAGATATTACGAATGAAGCTTGCTTGAATATTTATATGCGAGTCTTTGTGTGGATACATGTATTTCTTTCTCTGAGGTAAAACATAGGAATGGAATTCCTAGATTGTATAATAAGATTATATTTCACTTCATAATACGTTTTTGCAGTTTTCCAAAATGATTGTACCATTTCACATTCCCACCAGCAAAGCATGAGAATCTTGGCTGTTCCACATTCTCTCCAATATTTGTTATATTTGACCTTTTTCATTTTATCCATTCTAGTAGGTATACAGCAGAACTTCATTGTGGTTTTAATTTTAATTTCTTATTGGATAATGGTGTTAAGCATCTTTTCATGATCTTATTGGCCGTACATATAGCTTTTTTGTATAGTGCCTGTTGAAATTTTTACACATTTGTATTGGGCTGTTTTTCTTACTGAGTTGTGAGAATCTAGGTACAAAGTTATTTGCCAAATACACGTGTTGCAAAAATTTTCTGCCATTTGTAGTATACTTTCCATTTTCTTAATGGTGTCTTTTGAAAATCAGAATGTTTTCATTTTCTCGGAGTTCATTTTTATCAACTTTTCTGTTACTGTTTGTGTTGTTTGTGTTCCAGGCACCCACTGCCAACTCCAAGGTCAGAAATACATTGTCTTTTTTTAATTCACAAGTTTTATAATTTCAGACTTTGTGCTAAAGCACATAATCTATTTGGGGTTCACATTGCAAGTGTTGTGAGATGGAGTCAGACTTTACTTTTTCCATTTGGATATTTGGTTGTTCTAGGATCATTTGCTGAAAAGATTATCTATCATGAATTTACCTTTGGCCCTGATTTAAAATCAATTAATCATATGCATGAGTGTTCCATTAATATATATTTTTCACCTTATACTGACTTGAATATTGTAGTTTTGTAATATGAATGTTAAAACTAAGTAGTTTAGGCAGTCCAAATTTGCTCTGCCTTTAAAAAGTTATTTGGCTATACTAGGTCTTTTGTATTTCCATATAAATTTTTTTAAGTAGTTTTTACCCTACAGCTTGGTTAGACTCAGTCAATTCTTTTTTTTTTAAGATTTTATTTATTTATTCATGAGAGACAGAGAGAGAGAGAGAGGCAGAGACACAGGCAGAGGGAGAAGCAGGCTCCACACAGGGAGCCTGACGTGGGACTTGATCCTGGGACTCCAGGATCACGCCCTGGGCCAAAGGCAGGCGCCAAACCGCTGAGCCAACCGGGGATCCCCCTATTTCCATATAAATTTTATAATTGGTTTGTCAATTTCTTTCAAAAACCTAATGATATATTAACTAGAATTACATTAAATCTATATGTTCACTTAGGTGAAAATTATATTGTGATATAACAAGAAGTATATTTGGTCTCTATTCCTGATTTTGGCACAGAGCTTCTAAACCCTTGGAATTTCCTGAGTGATGGAAATGCCTTTTAGTATTTATAACAAATCCCTTTTGATCACATCTGAATTTATTCTAATGAAGTAACTCAGGGTGGGGCCCCCTAGCTAGCCTCAGGATGGAACTGGTTATCAAAAAGACCAAGTGATTACAGGGCTGGAACATCCAGCCCCACCCACTGACCTCGGGGGATGGGGAGAGGCTGGAGATTGAGCTCCATAAAAACTCTTGAACAAGGAGATTTGGAGAGCTTTCTGGTTGATGAAAACATTAATGTGTGAGGAAGGTAGTACACCTGGAGAGGGCATGGAAGCTCTGCATACCTCCCCCACACCTCACCCTATGCATCTTTTCCATTTAACTGTTTCTGAACTGTATGTATCCATTATAACAAACCAATAAACTTTAGTAAAGTGTTTTCCTAAGTTCTGTGGGCCATTCTAGCAAATCATCACATATGAGGAGAAGTCAAGGGAACTCCCAAATTTGTAGTCAGTCAAGCAGAAATGTGAGTAGTCTGGGGACCCCAATCGTGGCTGGCATCTGAGGTAGGAGCACAGGACTACACCTTTAACTTACAGGGTCTGCATTAACTCCAGAAGCGGGTTTCAGAACTGAATTGAGTTGTTGAACACCCAACTGCTATCAGAGAATTGAAAAATTGCTGGGGGGAACCACCACATGTTTTAGTGACAGAAGTGTTGAGACAAAACCTTTCAGGTATTTTAACAACACCTAGTTTTCCAGTGTTCTCTCCATTATTTAGTATATTTCTCCATATATTTAAGTCTCCTTCAGAAGTGTTTTGTCATTTTTCAGTCAGTATCACTTTTGTTAAATTATTCCTGTTTCATGTTGCCAATTATTCTTGCTAGTATACAGAACAACAGGGGATCCCTGGGTGGCTCAGTGGTTTAATGCCTGCCTTTGGCCCAGGGCGTGATACTGGAGTCCCGGGATCGAGTCCCACATCAGGCTCCCAGCATGGAGCCTGCTTCTCCCTCTGCCTGTGTCTCTGCCTCTCTCTCTCTCTGTCTCTCATGAATAAATAAATAAAATCTTTAAAAAAAAAAAAAGGAAAACAGTAGACTTTTGCATATTGACCTTGTATCGAGCAACCTTGCAAAATTATTTACTTTGTAGCATTTTTTGCAGACCCTTAGAATTTCCTAAGCCCATAATTATATCACCTGGAAATAAAGATGGTTGTATTTTTTTGTCTCCCATCTTTATGCCTTTTATTTCTTTTTCTTACTTTATTGCATTGGCTAGGAACTCTAGCTAGTGAAAAGAAATGATGAGGATGGGTATTTTTGCTTTTTCCTGACCTTACAGGAAAAGCATTTAGTCTTTTATGTTAAATTTGGTGTCAGCTGAATGTTGCTTTTTATCATGTTGAGAAAACTTGTTTCTGTTCTTTCTGATAGTTTTATAATCTATGCTTGGCAAATATTGTCAGATCATTTTTACGTATCTATTGAAATAATCATATGATTTTCCTCCTTTTTATTGTAAGATTGTGATTTACACTGATTATTTTTTTCAACGCCAAACCAAACTTCCATGTTAACAGTATATAGTGAATATTTCTAGATTTGATTTGATAGTATATTGTTAAGGATTTTCCCCCTCAATATTTGTGAGGTAAACTAGTCTGTACTTTCCTCATACTACCTTTGTATCATGGCATCACAACATCAGTTAAGGAATGCTAGCTTTTCCTCCATTTTTTTGAAAAAATTAACATAATATTGGTATTATTATTTCTTCATCAGATGTTTGATAGAATTTACCAAACCATCTGGACATGAAGTTCCACTGTGGGGAGGTCTTAACTACTAATTCAATTTTAATAAATATAGGGTTATTAATATTTTCTACTTTATCTTGTGTCTATTTTGATAAATTGTGTCTTTCAAAGAATTTGTCCGCTTGGTCTAAGTTATTGAAATTATTGGCATAACAATTTTTATGATAGTTCTTTATCATACTTTTAATGTCTGCAGAATCTGTAATGCTACCCCCATTTTATTCCTGATATTAGTAAGCTTTCAAAGACACCCTTATGTGATCAATCCAGATATTTATCAAACTATTAAATTTTGTGAAGAATAAACTTTGGGTTTCATCAATTTCTTCATTGTTTTTCCATTTGCCATGTCATTGATTGTTGCTTTTATCTTTTATTTTCCTCTTTCTACTTATTTTTCATTTTAATTGCCCTTTTTGTCCTAATTTTTTGAGATGGAACTCCTCTATTTAAAATAGATCATCTATTTTAAAACTTTCCTGTTTTAAGATAAACATTTTCAGGACACCTGGATGGCTCAGTCAGTTAAGCATCCAACTCTTGATTTCAGCTCAGGCTATGATCTCATGGTTGTGAGATCAAGCTCTGTGTCAGGTTCTGTGCTGGGCATGGAGCCTGCTTAAGATTCTCTCCTTCTCCCTCTGGGCCTCCCACCCTCCCTCTCAAAAAAAAAAAAGAAAGAAAGAAAGAAAAGAAAAGATAGGGATCCCTGGGTGGCGCAGTGGTTTGGCGCCTGCCTTTGGCCCAGGGCGCGATCCTGGAGACCCGGGATCGAGTCCCACATCGGGCTTCCGGTGCATGGAGCCTGCTTCTCCCTCTGCCTGTGTCTCTGCCTCTCTCTCTCTCTCTCTGTGACTATCATAAATAAATAAAAATTTAAAAAAAAAAAAGAAAAGATAAACATTTTTCCTTTTTTTTAAAGATTTTATTTGTTTGAGAGAGACAGACCATGAGCAGGGGGAGTAGGCAGAGGGAGAGGGAATAGTAGACTCTCTCCCGAGCAGGGAACCCGACAGAGAACTCAATCCCAGAACCCTAAGATCATGACCTGAGCTGAAGGCAGATGCTTAACCAACTGAGCCACCCAAGTGCCCCAAAAGATAAACATTTTCATCTAAAAAAACATGAACATCACAAATTTTAATGTTTGTTTTCATTTTCTTTCCATACAAAATATTATCTAATTTCTTTTATGATTCTTTTTTGACCTATGTGTTATTTAAAAGTGTGTTGTTTAATCTCCAAATATTTGGAGATTTTCCAGATTTATTTTTATAATTGTGTTCTCATTTAGTGTCATTGTGGTCAGAGAATATACTCTGTTGATTGCAATCTTTTTAGACCTTATTCAGACTTCTTTTACAGGCCAGCATATGGGCCATCATGATGAACAATCCACTTAAAAAGAATGTATTTTCTTTTCTCCAGTTGTGTAGAATAGTCTATAAGTGTCAATTAGGTCAAGTAGGTTGATGGAGTTGTTCAAGGTTTTTTTCTTCTTACTGATTTATTTTTCATTCTATCAATTACTGAGAGAGAAGAGTGTTGAAAATCTTCAACTAAATTTAAAGATGTGTCTATTTCTCATTTTGATTCTCTGCATTTTTCCTTTATATACTTGGAAGTTCTATTATTAGGTGCACATACACACTTAAAACTGTTATAGCTTCTTGATAAATTGGCCATTTATAATTTACAAATATCCCTCCTTATCTTTGGTAATATATCTTTTCTTGACATCTAGTTTGTCTGATATTAATATAGCACCTCCAGCTCTCTTGCTATTGTTGCCACACATTTCACTTCTATATACAAGTCTCACAGCATATTGTTATTTTTATTGTTTAAATAAAATCTTCTAGGGGCACCTGGCCGATCTAGTCGGTTAAGTGACCTACTCAGTTTTGGCTCAGGTAATGATCTCAAGGGTCATGAGATTAAGCCCTTCATCAGCCTCCATGCTCAGCAGGGAATCTGCTTGAGATTCTCTCCCTTCTCTCTCTGTCTCTCTCTTTCTCTCTCTCTCTCTCAAATAAATAAATCGTTAAACAATCACCTTTTCTTAAAAATGTAAATGAGAACAAATAAATATACACTCACATATTTGACATTTCTGACACTCTTCATTCGTTTCTGTAGATTTGCTTCCATGTAGAATCATTTTCCTTCAACCTGAAAAATTTGATGTAATATTTATTATAGTTACTACAGGTCTCCTGATGACTATATATATATATATATATATATATATATATATGTATATGTATATATCAGCTCTTGTCTATTTAAAAATATCCTTACTTCACCTTCACTTTTGAAGGAAGTTTTTGCTGGATATAAAATTCTAGGTGGCCAGGGTTTGGGGATTTTTCTTTTAACACTTTAAAGATGTCAATATAGGGGCACCTGGCTGGCTGAGTCAGTAGAGCATGTGACTCTTGATCTCAGTTGTGAGTTCAAGCCCCATACTTGGCATGGAGCCTACTTTAAAAAAATAAAATAAAGATCATTATTGTATCACCTAGATTATACCATTCCTGAAAGAAGCTAGAGGCCATTTTTTAACTCTGTTGGCTGTGTGTAATACATCTTTTATCTCTGGAGGCTTTTAGGATTTTTATCGTTGTCACTGGTTTTGAGAAATTTGATTATAATGTGACTTGATGTATTTATTTATTTATTTATTTATTTATTTATTTATTTATTTATTTATTTACCTTACTTGGTAATCACTGAAATTATTGATATATGGATTCATATTTTTCACCAAATTTGGGTAAATTTTGATTCTTATTTCCACAAATATTTTTTTGGTCTCATTGTCTCTCTCTTCTCTTTCTGAGACTACAATTATACAGGTATTAGGATGTGTACTCTTGTATCATGGGTCACTGACACTGTTCATTTTTTTCTTGTCTTTTAATTTTTGTTATTCTTTTTGGATTCTTCATATGATTGTATCTTCAATCTTCTCTCCTGAAGTTTCTAATACACTTTTAATATGATTTTTAATGTGTAGATTGTACTTTTGAAGTCTAAAAGATCTATTTGCTTCTTTTTTATAGTTTCTATTTCTCTTCTCATTATGTTGATGTTTCCTTTAAATTCTTGAGCATATTTGTAAAAGCTATATAGTCCTTGCCTCATAATTCCATTATCTACATAATTTTTAGTCTGGCCCTATTAATTTTCTTTCTCTGTGTTATGGGCCACATTTTTCCTGTTTTTTCACCTAATAATTTTAAACTAGATGCTGAACATTGTTACTGTTACATTGTAGAGAGGGTGGATTTTGTTTTCTTTCATCAAAGAGTGTTGAATTCTGTTCTGGCAGGCAGATAATTCACTTTCAAATGAGCATTACCCTCTAGAAACTTGTTAGAAAAACTTGTTAGAATTAGTCTAGAGTTGATTTAATGCTATGGCTCATGTAGCCCTATTCTTAAGGCATGGCCTTTCTGGAATGCCTAGTTAATTCCTCCAGTATTGGACAAAGTCCCTCCATTTTGGTTGATTGTAAGTTGAATGACTCACAGTTCTGTGTGTGTTCTGGTAGTTTTTTTTTTGCTTAGCACTCCACAGTAGTTGTTTTTTCTCCCATGGTTTTCGCTGCCCAGCCTCACAGCATCTTGCCCTGTGTATATGTAGATCAGCATTCAATCAAAGACTTATGAAACTCCTGAAGATTTCTGGAGATCATTCTCTGAGTAGCTCCCTTTTCTCTTGTATTCTACTCCCCCAATTCTAACCATCTCAGTCCTTCATAAACTGACTTTTGTTGCTTTACCTCACCAAATCTGCTGTGCTCGGCTTGAGTTTCCCTCTCCTGCATCAGGGTCATAAAATTCTTCCAGGATGAAAACTAAGGTTATTATGGGGTTCGTATTGTTTGCCTCATTTCTTCCAATGATCACAATGCAGCTCTGCCTGTTGTCAAATATCTGCAACTGTTGTTCTATATGCTTTTCCTAGTGTTGTAGTTGTTCATGGTGAAAGAACAAGTCCAGTACCATTTATTACTTTGTGGAAAGACCAAATAAGAGACCATTTGAGAAGCAATAAAATAATGATGCTAATAGATTATATCCACTGAATAAAATAGAATCCATGAGTTTATTCTGCTGTAAATAAAAAAATAAGTGAGGAGAAAAGAAAGCTTTTTCTTAAAGTAGCATGCCAACTAATAAATGTACAAGGAATGACAGAATTAGAAAATCACTGTTTGGCAGCCATCACAGTAATAATTAATTCGGCCAAGAAATATCAGTAGATAATAAAACGTATAATAAATATTTGATGAAGAGTGGGACATTTACATAGTTTCCAAGTCCTTCCCCCCAAAATACTTATCAATTACAAAAGAAGAAGAGGAACTTTATAGTGGAGATATTGACAGATATCACCAATGATACAAAACTAGTAATGGGGCAAATACCATTTGATACGTGTTATGGATTGCTGAGTAGAGAGGATTTAGGAAGGAAGTCAAGTAAAATTACTTCAACTAGGGAACAAATGTTGAATCTACATATAATGGATTGTGTCCCCCTCACCCCAAAACCATATGTTAAAGCCTAACCCCCAATGTGATTGTATTTGGAGATAGTGCTTATAATAAAGGGATAAAAGTTAAATGAGGTCATGGGTGAAGTCCTAATCTGATAGAGTTTGTGTCCTTATAAGAAAAGGAAGGGACACCAGAGCGCTCTCTCTCTCTCTCTCTCTCTCTCTCAGTCTCCACCATGTGAAGACACAGTGAAGAGGCAATCATCTGCAAGTCAGGAAGAGACCTCTCACCAGAAACCAAACTAGCCAGAGCCCTGATCTTGCACTTCCAGACTCCAAAACTGTGAAATATAAATATCCCTTATTTAAGTCACTCATTCTGTGGTATCTTGTTGTGACAGCCTACACAAACTAATGCAGTATGAAACCAGAGGAAGAGAGCCATCGCTTCTGTGACATTCCTGACAAAGATGCATACCCTGAACCTAATCATCAGGAAACATCAGATAGAAGCAAATTAGTAGGCATTTTACAAAATAATGGAATTATAATCTTCTAAAATGTCAAAGTCATGAAAGTCAAGGAAACACTGAGGAACTAGCCCTACCTTAAGGACATTACAGAGACATGACAACTAAAGACAAGACATGATCCAGTTATCCTTTTGGCATATGGGACATTAACAAAACTGAATGGGGTCTATGAATTGATAGTAGTGACATAACAGTAATAATTTTCTGATTCTGATAGTTGTAGTTATGTACAATCATATCCTTTTTTCTTTATGCCCTGAAATATTCTACAGTAATGCAACATAACATCAGCAACCTATTCTCAAATGGCTCTTTGTTCTATGTTGCAACTTTTCTGTAAGTTAAAAATTATCTCAAAATAAAAAGATAAAAATAAATACCTTATCCCTTGGAGAATTTCAGTCATTAAATATTTGGCAGACACCGATATGATAATCCTTATCACACCCATATTGAATTCTACTGTTTCAATTAGTGCAAAACTCTGATGAATCTGGAGAGCACCAGTGGATTTAAGCTTAATCAAATGATGAATCCAACTGTATTGACTATTTCTATATCTGGTCTTTTTTATAGGAGACTACTGGAGGGGGTATTCTTTTTGTAGTTTCTTGACCTGCACACTCAACTCATGTGTTTTTGGACTCTTTTGTTTTGTAATAAATTAGAGACTATTAGTTTTCCTCTAAATATGATTTTATCTGCATCTTCTAGGTTTTTGTATATAGTGATTTCATTATAATTCACGTCTACATATTTTATCATTTCCCTTATGATTTTTCCTTTGACTCCTCACAGAGTCTTTAGATGTTTGAATTTTTTTAACTCACTGTTTCCAAATGTGTGGGAAATAATTTTATTTTTATTGCTGATAATTAATTTTATCTCATTTTGATCAGAGGATATGGTTTGAATAATGGCTATTATTTGCAATGTGTTGTGACTTCCTTAATGGTCTAAAATATTATCATTTTCTGATAAAAATTCAATGTGTGCTTGAAAACAATGTATGTTCTCTGAAGAGCAAGTTTATATATTTTGAGCCAGATCAAGATTATCTTCACATATCTGTACTTATTGCTTGTTCGTCTGATCAATCCATTTCTGGGAGATGATTAAACCTTTTATCATTATCACAAATCTTATCAATTACTCTCTCCTGTTTTGACAGTTGCTATTCTTGGTATTTTGAGGCTATATAGTTAGGCACATACAAATTAATGATTGTTGTGTCATCTTGGTGGGTTGTTCTTTTATCAATATGAAATAACCCTCTAGGGCAGCCCAGGTGGCTCAGCGGTAGCGCTGCCTTCAGCCCCAGTCATGATCCTGGAGACCCGGGATCGAGTCCCGCATCAGGCTCCCTGCATAGAGCCTGCTTCTCCCTCTGCCTGTGTCTCTGCCTCTCTCTCTGTGTCTCTCATGAATAAATAAATAAAATCTTAAAAAAAAAGAAAGAAAGAAAGAACCCTCTAATTAAAATAATATTTCTAATGCTACTCATACTACATTCTATTTTGTCTGTTAATAAGAACACTACACTACCTTCCTTTTGGTCAGTAAATGCCCAGTATATCTTCTCTATACCTCTTAATTTTCAAGCATCTGGATTCTTTAAATATGTCTATTGTAATAATCATATAATTGTATATTTTTTAAAAGGTCTTATTTATTTATTCATGAGAGACACAAAGAGAGAGAGACAGAGGCAGAGACACAGGCAGAAGGAGAAGCAGGCTACACGCAGGGAGCTAAACCACTGAGCCACCCAAGGATCCCCTTACTTGTATATTTTTAATCCAACCTGAAGTCTCTATCTTATAATTGTGAGTTTAACCTATGTACATTTATTGTGGTTAGTAATGGATGTGGACTTATTTCTACCTTCCTGCTTCCTTTTTGCCTTTTTTTTCTCCTTTCATTTCTTTTGATGGATTAAGTTTTCTATATTACTTTTATTTTCCACTACCGGCTCAAAAGTCATGCACTCTATCATTCTAGTGTTTACCATTAAATTTTAGTATTGTTTATCTTGCATCTCACTCCTTCCTTCTGGAATATTTTTTCCTGTTTAAGTAATTTATTTAATAATTATGTTAGAGAGCATCCACATTATTCATTTCTATTCTATGTTCTGATTTTTCTAAAAATATCTTTGTCATCCTTTCTCTTAAATTATAGTTTGGGTTGGTATAGAATTATAGGGTCATAATTATTATCTCTCAACTTCAAAGATATTCCATTTCTTTCTGGCATATGATACTGCTCATGAGAATTTGGATAACAATCTGATTGTTGTTCTGTTGGAGGTGATCTATGTTTTATTCCCTGGTGGCCCTTAGGATTTTCTCTCTTCTTGATATTCTGCAGTTTCACTATAAAGTGTCTACATGTGGAGCTTAATGGGTCTTCCTGTACTTGGCAAAAATTTTTCAGCAGTTATTGTTTTAAATACCACCTTGCTGTCCTTTACTCCAGTCTCTCCCTCTTGACATATGTTGGCACTTCACTTTCTATCTTCTATGACCCTTAAATTCTTTCATATTTTGTTTCAATAATTTGCATCCAATTAGATTAGATTTGTGTTGAAGCTTCTCATTCTCTATTCCATGTCTCTCTATGTCTCTCATAATTTCTATTTCTTTCACACCTGCTATCTCTTCCATATTTTTCATTGTATAATGCATTCCTTTCTCATCCATTGACATTCATTCTAAAATATATAATATAAAATACCTAGTACATAATTTCGGGTAGTTTACAATTATGGGCAAATAGGCCATGGCAGTGATTGGCTATCTCATTTCTGAATCCTGAGAATTTTATTTTCCAGCATCCTTTGTGGTTAAGTCAAAGTCTTTTGAGTGCTTCCAGTTACTGAACTTTGGGTGGAAATGATACAAGGTAAAATTGTACTTGAGGGGAAAAGTGTATGTGGAGATTTTGGGCTGACAAGGTACAGACAGTAGTGAACATCTATTGTTTTTGCCTGCACACCTGCCTGCCTGGCATTTATCCCCCCTTCATATGACATTCTTCCAATAATGCTTTAGAAAATTACCTAATCACCATCATATGCAATCTTGATAGGACTGTCAATCAAAGAGTGTTGTATTTACCTAACTAATGCAGAACTGGCTACATAATTTGTGAGGCATCTTGTTAAAAAAAAATCTGAAGAATTTCAATATGGCAGCTGCAGAGCATTAGACCAACTGTAGAGCTCTTCTACGGGCAGGGATATATGAGACTGCCCAGGTTGTACACCCAGGAAAGTCACCCAACCTAAACCAATTAGACTCTCCCTCCCAAAAATTTAAATCTTCACCACAATGACATAGGTTTGGGGAAATTAGTTCCAGACCATTGGAACTAATTAGTTCCAAACCAAACCATTGGTTTCTGCCACAGTATCTCCAGGGAATTCCTGATTCCTGTCTTTTCCAAATCTGTATCATTTGCTTCAACTGCATCAGCCCCTACTCCATCCTCTTACAATCAAGCCTTTGGCTTAATTCAACTCTGGTAAATTTCTGGTGGCTCACCCAAGAACTCTAAATGAAACAATGAGTAATTCCATTTGAGCACCCTGAACCTCAGTTTTCCATCTGTAAAATAGGAATAATGGCATATACGTCCAAGGACTTTAGCTATAATTTTAACAGATGGATGGATGTGAAGTGTACAGTGCAATCCCTTGCATGTACTAGGAGAATATTAAATACAGGTTTTCTTTCTTCTCCTCCATCCCTTGCCAGAGGCAACAAAATGCCAGTCTGTCCAATTATTCAGACAGAACATTATTCATCTCAGACCTAAGTCCAGAAGTCAAGTTTTTAAATCCATCAGGTATTATGAGAACATCTCTTGGGTGAACCAAGTGGGGACCTGGCTAGGACCTCTACCAAGGAAGTGAAAATAACAGCCAGCGGTGAGTGCTGTGGATTCTAAATATACTCAGTTGCCCCATATCCAGTCCCCCTCCCTGAGAGCAGATTTCCTCAGATTTTTGGAGGAAATTAGCTCTGATAGGAATTCCAGAACAAGCCTCCCAGAAGCCTAAAGGACCAGATTCTGACTCTCCCTGCCCCTAGGAAATGAGAGAGTGGGCAATATGACCTAAGGTCAGCCAGTCAGGGCCTGCCTTCCAGGATTTGAACTTTGAATCATCACATCAGAGAGATGTGAAGAGAGAAGGGGAGAGGGTTAGTTTCTTGCTGCTATGGCAGAAAAAAAAAGTGGTGGTGGCTTCCTGGCCAGGCTGCTCCAGTCATGAAACTATATCTGGACTTCATGCTTCCTGCCCCTTGTCTCCATGAGTGTTCTTGGTTTCTATCCCTTCCCTTTCTGGTCTCACAACTTCTGTTCCATTTCAAAAGTTCCTCCACACCCCCAATACACATCTTTCACATCATATCCTTTCACCAAGTTTGCTTAGATTATCCAAATATGTTTCTATTTTTTATAATCAAAACCCCAAACTACTACAGGGAATCAAACTCAATGTCCCCCAGAAAAGCCAATTTTAGAGAACCAAGATTAGGTGGAGACTACAAAAGGATAAAAACTAGGAATGGGGAGTGGAGCCCAAGGTCACAGGCTGGGTGGGATTGGAGTGGACCTCAACTGGAGGAAAGCCATAGCCCCAGCCAGGTACTTTGTGGAAGAGAGCTCATTGCATACCACTGAAGTAGATAGGAGGATCTTATTTTTTTAGAAAAGGAAACTAGACCTCATATAGTTACGGGATGTGCCAAGAGATAGGAAAACTGGGATTTGAACCAAAAATCCTATATGATGTTACTGTGTCCATTTTTACAGCTGAAGGGTACATGCTTTCAGATGAAGGGTAACTCAGATTTATTAAGCAACAGCCAAGTGCCAAGTGCTACCCTTGGGCAAGTACTTCCCAAGTTCTATTTCTCTGTTTTCCTGATCACTGTGATGTTGTTCTTATAGTTAAATCTACTGTTTAAACACTAGAATATAGAGTACCATGGGGCGCCCAAAGTGAGTTCAAATGTTTCCATGCTGTTGGGAACTCACTGTCCGAATGACTGCACGTAGCTGAGTCCACTCATCCCAAGTTAGGGGCTGACAGCAAAACTTCCATACAGGATACAATAGATATTGAAGGATACGTAAGAAAAATATGTGAATTTGAAGCTGAAAGAGATAGACTCACTATTAAATGCAGCAACTGTTTAAAAACTTAGACCCACAACAGAACATTTCAGGGAAGAGTATTCTCTCACTGACATTGCTTGGAATTGTCAGTGCATAGTGATAACAAAAAAGCCAACTGAGTTTGAGTTGGTTCTATGTGTTTGTTTAAGTTCCCTGCAGACCCTGCGTCCCCTTCTTGCCTGCTCCCCCAAGCCATGCTCTTGGTACCTGATTTCATTTTGTAAGAATAACGATAAAGAAAGTGGGCTTTGGAGAGCTTCAGCAATGTGAAGTCACCAGTACAGAGTGAAGGCAAAGTTCAAAGTCAAGACTGTAGGGATGCCGAGCTCACCTTCTTGCTCCTCTGCTGGGCTGCCTATGAGCCTGAAGGTGCTAAAGTGGTGGCTTCTTCCTTTGCATGGGAGATGAACACCTCTGCCCCTTCCCCCACTCTCCCCTTGTTTGAGAGTGGTGCTCCATGGACACCTCCCCAAGAAGGCACACTTTTCCTGGAAGAGAGAAACACTTCAAGGACGCAGCTGTGGAAGAGCTGGGTTCAAGGGCCAGCCCCACAATGATGTCTTTTCGAGGTTACTGCACAGGAGCTCCTGCCAGCACCCCATCTCCCGTGCGGTGCCCCAAGGCCACCGGTGGGAGCTCAAGTCGTAAGCCGGCGGCCCCACGAGGGTCCAAGGGACCACCCTGTCTCCAACCTGAGTGTCAGCATCCACATCCCGTGTCTTGAAGGATTCTGATGCCTGCCATCTGGAGGGAGAGAGCCGGACCCGGGGCGGCAGGCCAAGAAAAGCGTTGTTGCTGGAGCCTCCCGGGAGCCAAGCGGCACCATGTGTCTGAGCATTATCATTTACACTGAGGAACCGGGTATTTAGAAAACAGGGCTGGTACCAAGCACGCCATCTGTGGCCAAGCTTTCCCGGCCCACCGCACCATATTGTGGAAGACGCCGGCTGAAGGAAACAGCGTCCCGTGTCGCGCAGTGTTTGTTTGGTTTGGGGCTTTTGTTGTTTTTTGTTTTTTGTTTTTTCAACAAATTCAAATGTGGCTTCCTCACTTCGCAAAGCAGGCTGAATGGCCCCACAAGTCAGAGTCGCTGGAGGGAGAGAAGGATTTGACGGGGTGTGGGATTTGTGCTCTGGCTCCGGGAGAGGTAAAAATATGATCCCACCGGCCCACGCCGAGGGCTTCGTTTCCGTCAGGCCATCGGCCAAGGGTGGTATGTGTGCATGTTGATATATTTTATGTGTCCAAATAATTCCTTTAGTCTGTACAACAGTCTCAAGGGCTAGGTACTCTCACCACTCCGTCAGGCGGACTTGGAAACCAGAACCCAGAGAGGTTGAGTAACTTGCCCATGGCCACACAGTTAGAGAAAGGTGGAGCCCAAGGAGGGAGCCAGGTTTAGTCCACATCCACCTTGGCTGTCCTCCGGAGCCCTTTTGTCCCTAAGACACACAGAAGTGGCTTCTAGGTCCTTCCAGCAGCTTCCACCCCCCCATTCGGTGGGTCACTGTCTCCCATGTGGTCCTGCTGTATTTTCCTCTGTGAGCTAATCCCATCTGAAGCCACCCCTCCTTGTGAACTGTTGTCTCTGTTCCCCTCACCAGATCATCAAGTCCTTGCAGGCCAGGCTCCTGGCTGTGTTCATGGCCATGGTACTAGTGATGGGGTTGCAGGGGGCAGGACGCTCATCGCTCCAAACATCGACTTCTTATCTATAAAGTGAGTGTAATACCCACCTCCACGCCTGGCCTTCTTCATCTGTAACGTGGAGATCAAACACCTGTCTCTGGGGTTGTGTGAGGTTTACTGGGAAAGCTGTACTGTGCCAGGGCAGGGCCTTGCCTTTGAGCTTCCATAACCCTGCATGTCTCCTCTCCTGGCACCTGTCACGGTGCATCCAAGAACTCTGTGCACCTGGCTATCCTTCACCCCACTGTCCGCCTTCTCCTCTGCTACTTCGCACATGATAGGTGCTCAAGAACCCCTCCCTAAATAGTAAAGGGCCCTTCATTCTGCTCCCTACACTCAGCCTCAGTTTTACATGGTCCCCCAGCCTCTGAAGTTCTGTCCAGTTCTGACACCCTTTGGCACAACTCCACCAGCCCTGCGAGAGCCCTGGGCCAGCGTGGGAGCCCCACATGAGGAAAGGCGAGGAGAAGGCAGGGTATGCTGCTAAATAATGCAGGTCCCGAGGTGCTGCCGCTCCAGCACTTGCCAGGCAAGCCCGGGCCCTCACGGCAGGCAGCCACCCTCGGGAGGAGCCGGCCCATTAAGGAGTGATTATCTCACCACTGCTAAGTGGCTGCAGGAGCAATCGGGTTTGGAGAGTGGCAGGCAGGCTCTGCTTCTGGAGCACATGGTAAAATTTGGTGCAATTAGCAGCGAGGGAACACACATTACTACTATTATTATGTTCTCTTGGCACCCTGGTCCTGTTGCGGGCTGCCTTCTTTCTTTAATTTCTTTTTTTTTTTTTTTTTAAGAAGGAAAAAAAATTTTCTTTGGGAACTGAAGCAAAATAAAAATGCCAAGAATTAAAAATGCAAATTCATCCAAGATGTTTTCTGCCCAAGACGGCAATGGCCACATGGCTCGATAACATTTTAAATGTTAAAAAATGGGTAATTTTCAGTAAAAATCAAATTTGCCAGAGCCCGGGTTTAAACGAATCCCATACAGCACTCGGGCAGCCGGCCAACATTCACGAACAAGGCCTCTCAGAAGGTGATGCACTATTAAAATGAGGAGAAAACACAAACTCCGCGTATATAGCGCTGGTCCCTGGGATCCAGAAAACGCAGTGGGCTGGGTTTGGATCCAGCTCAGTGATTTCCCTCCCTGCCCTAGGTTGTCCCATCCATAAAATGGCCATAAATAAAAGCCACCTCTGGGCTTTTATTAGGAGTAATAGTGTTATAAAGAACAATAGAGGTTTTCTTTAAAAAAAAAAAAGATTTTATTTATTCATGAGAGACACAGATAGAGGCAGAGACGCAGGCAGGGGGAGAAGCAGGCTCCATGCAGGGAGCCCGATGTGGGACTCGATCCCAGGACCCCAGGATTACGACCTGAGCCAAAGGCGGGTGCTCAACCACTGAGTTACCCAGGTGCCCCAATAGGGGTTTTTGTTTTGTTTTGTTTTTTAATAAACATTGAACAAATATCTTGCCCATCAGTAAATCTTGCTCAATGGAAACAGTTAAGGACAGGGATCCGAGCTGCACTTCCAACCCCACCCGCCAACTGCCACGGTGCCCACTAAGGGGTCTGGCTCCTAATAGATGCTTAGTTTGAGCGTTGGCAGCAATGGGTCTCTAGAGACCTGGGTGTGCACCTGTGCTCTACCCCAACCCCGTGATTCAAGGATGAATAGAGACTTGTCCACCCGGAGAGGTCAGGGCTCAGGGACAAAAACATATTCCTCCCCCCCTTCATTCCTGAGTTCAGTTAGTTGCACAGGGCAGGAAGTGGTTGGGGGTGCCGGTATCACCAGCAGGGACACCTGGTCTCAAATCCCCCTTCAGTCTTAGGGGCCATGAGACCTTGGGTAAGGCGCAAAACCTCTGCACTCCTCAGTCTTCCCATCTGCAGAATGGGAACAACAGTGAGCCCACTGCTGGCGCTGTCGTAAAAATGAATCACATAAAGCACCAAACACCTGCTTGGTAAGTGCTCAAGGAAGGGAAGCTGTTTTGGTCATTGAAGTAGCTGCTGCCCCAGTGTCTCTTGGTCTACAGTGAATCTTGCACCAGACCAAGATGCTCTCCCCAAACCACAAGGTAGGGAACATGCCCAGGGATCAGCCTGTCAGCCAGTCAGGACCCAGTGGGAGACACAGTGCCTCCCCACTCACCATGATTTCTCACACCCCAGATTAGCCCACCCCTCTGCCTGGAACCCGTCACCCATCATGCCGACTCATCCAAAGCCAAAGCCAACCCTTACCTCGGCCTTTAGGGCTCTGTGTGTTGTGCTCACCACCACCCTCCACCTCCCGTTACCTCCTGACCTCACTTCCCACCAGCCTCCCAGCCCCTGCTCTGTCTCCAGCACCTGTCCATCTCCAGGTGGTGGCCTTCCATCCTTTGCTGGAAGTCATTCCCCCAGGTATTCATAGGCCTCACCTTGGCACCATGTCCTTAAAAAGGCTTCCCTTGCAACGGCCCCATGTACTCTTGTCAACAGTTGGCCTCAATAGAGGGAACAACACTTGTTGGAAGCCTGGTTCGCTTCTCTCCCCGCCAGCATGAGCTGCAGAGGCCAGGGTCTCGGCCAGCTAAGTTTCTCTGGAGCCCAAAGGTCATGGGAGAGAAGAGGAAAGGGATCGGACCCAGGAAGGGCACTGGAGCCCTCCAGACAAGGGGGACGTGCTTCATCTCTCAGATAGAAAATGTAGGTTCAGATGAGGGAAGGAGCCTGTTCAAGGCTGCAGGTGAGTTGTTGCACAGTCCACCTCCTTGCCTTCAACTTCCTCATTGAGCTGCTGCATCCAGCAGGCAGGATTGGGGGGAAATAACCACAGGAGCTTTATCTTGACTCCTACTGTCCCTTTAAAATGTATTAAATGGGAGAAGCTCATCCCAGGACCCTGGATCCTCAGAAGGCCTCAGGACTTTGCAGGTCGCTCAGGCAATAAAAGTGCTATTGTCACTTGAAGTCACCAAATACTGTGTCACTTTCACAATTAAAAGCATCTTGTGCCTTGTGGTGATCTGAACTTCAGATGGGATTTAAAGTGACATCTTGTCTCCCCCAGGGCAGGACCTGCTGTCCCTGAGATGCAGTCATCAAGGCAGAGGTCCCATCCTGTTGCTTCTCTCTTCCTCTCCCCGATTCCCCATGTGCCCGCCTGGCCCTGCTTCTGCCCCTCCATGCATGATCTGGGTCTTGGGCACAGGAGGATGAGAGATGGAGGGAAAAGTTCTCACCTGCTGGGCACTGTTGGAAGCTGACTTCTCGCTCGTGGCCTCAAACAGGTGCACAGCCCACTCCTACCACGTGTTGCAGAGGTCACCCACACTGGGTCCTCAGGATGGCCGGTCTGCTCTGCTTGCCAGTCACTTTTCTTTGCATGTCTCCAGGGACCCTCAGCTTCTCCCCCACTGAGTCTGCTTTAGCTGCCACTGCTGCTCTGCTGGCGTGTGCATGTCGAGGGACACACATGTGCCTCCCTGGCTCCGGTCTCTGGACGTGCAGGCCAGCATCAATACAGCCAGCTCAGCTCAATACATCAGACCTCTTTTACTTCTCTTGGACAGAGGCTGGACCCTCCCTGCAAGGGACACACATGACATGCCTCTCTCTAAACTCAAGAACGGACTCTCCTCATGCCCCTCTACGTGCTAGGGCGAGGGCTGGGTACAGCTCCTACCAAGGAATCTCTCCCCTAAATATCT